GTGGTGAGTGTTGCCTGACCAGGTACACATATTTTTAAATCCACACTGTATGACCTGTGTGTCATATATGCTCACCATGGTATTTTGTTTCTTAAAGATGTTTGCCCTGGACTGTACACTCGTGGACTAATATAAGTAAAGCAGACTGGGATTAGTGCCCATCCGTGATGATCCAGGTATTGTAGGTCACTGGATGGGTCCGCTTTTCAAAATAAGGTGTTACACCACCCATTGCATTGTCTCTTATGCACTGTTTCCCCTCTTCTTCTAGTGGAGTATGGGATTCCTTGCCACTTACCAGTTCCTAGCTGCTGGGGTGGTGGACCATGGAGGCTTCCTCCTAAATGTGCTCACTCCCACTCAGTTGAGAGTAAGATGTTTGTATTGATGCTCATCCTACTGTAGACCTAATGTGCAATTCCAGATGCCACCAGGTGATGGACGATGCATTCTGCCAACATGCAATTCACCCCTCCGGCTGAGGCACCCTCTTTCTTACCATCTCCCAGTTGCTGGTTTCTGTTGGATATGGTGGTGGTTGGAGCTGGACCAGCCACATAAGATCTCATGTGTGTTGTCGAGTGCCCTCCTATTAACAAGGGCTGGATGATACATTCCCAATGCTGCTTGGTGATGGACTGGAAATGCTGTCCCACTTGGCTGTCTACCTTCCTACCATCCCCTGGATGTTGGTTCCTGGCAGATATAGTAATAGTTGTGTTGAATATGCACACATGAGTATATGATTCTGTCCTTATTACTACAAATGTTATGTGAGTGAACAGTATATCTTACTCAGAAGTGGTGTAGTCACCCAGGTCTTCCTATGGGTGCTTTCTAAAGAGGGATCATCTTCTCACTGGACTCTTCACCAATTCAGTGTGGAATTCTAGCTATTTGTGAGAGGAGGTAAGATAACGTATCAGAGGTAAACATTATCCTACACTAAAAATGTATTTTCAATAGATACTTACCTCCTCTCACATTTCCAACCTGACCTCCCCACTTCTGGTGTAGGTTTTGCTCAATCTCAAAATTATTACAGGCTGCACAGAAGAGAGGAAGCTAGTGACAATAGGAGTTGTGTCACACTCCAATTGGTGAAAGGTTACTGCAGGATCATTTATATGATAGCGTGCAGATGTCTCACGTGAATACATGTGAGGGTAGGTGGGGGAGTATCAAGACTAGTGGTGAGCAAAAATGTGTGACTATAGAGAGCAGTATAAGTGAAAAAAAAAAGCTACTTGTGAATGGGGTGGGTAAGTATATATTGGAAATACCTTTTCAGTGTAGGAAAATGTTAACTTTCTTAAAATACCTCAAGTCATCTTGATGCTTATTGAGATTGATTAGGACATTTTATTGTCATTTAATTACAGTACTTTATAATTTGTCAATTATGGAAAGAAAATAAATTAAATGAATAAGTTTTCATGTGTTGTTTATTTATTCTAAAGTAATTGTATTGAAAGCTAACTTTTTATATAAGATAACTTCAGTAACTTGAGGCCAATGATCAATGCTAGAATTTTATTTCTTTCTCAATCAAAAGGCAAGTGATGTTATGTCTTTTTGAACATGTTACCTAAATTATTAAAAATTTTATGCATAAATTTGAGTGAAATAAATACTGTATCTTTATATTAGTTTTAATAGTTGAAATGTTTTTTATTGCACCATTTCATTTAACAAAGTGGCCTTGTGCATGGTGTCATTAGGCTTATTATGATATGTATCAAAACTGGCTTCCATTTCAACTGTTACATAATGCATGCATAATGGCATAGTAAACATCTGTTTTAAATAGTGGTTTTGATTGTATTATAAATCATAAATTGGCAAAAAAAATTATATTTTAAAAGTTATCATAAATATCATGCCATGTGTTGGAAACATCTGTGTTTTAGATCTGATGATGTTATGAGTTATTAATGTTTATTCATAGAAACAAAAAATGGGCATAATATCAAACACTGGGCTGGAGAAAGGGTTTAATATGGCTAAATATAAATTGGATCATTTTTTGAAGCATATCTAGCAGGTCTCTGGTTGGGCTAGTCAGGTGGAGATCAGACCTATCCATTGAGCAGAGTTCAAGACTTGGAAGAAGAGTTTCATCAAGAGCTGTGTCACTTACATGGGTGATATTTACCTTTCACACAGGAAGGCATACCCTACTATGATTTTGGCAGATTGTGAGGATATCCTTGTAGACAAGTTTGTTGAAGGCTTACCTAGTGAGATGGTGAGATATCATTTATGTGTGAAAGACATTCTCACCCTGATGGAGACAGTTTCTGTAACTTTTAATAAGTCACAGGGGTGGAAAAAGCCAAAAATGGCTATATCTCAGAATTGAATGTATGATACTAATTTTGAGCTCAGCAACTAATAGATCTTTGTACTGCAACACAGTCTTATTAGATACCAATGAATGAGCAAGGCTTCCCATGTCACTGTCAATACCAGTATTGCCTCTATCCAAAGTTCCTCTGGAAGGGAGTATCAAAGCATCATCTAAGGGTGTGGGCAGTTGAGTCACTTTAAAGTTAACTGTTGGTATTTTGCATTGCAGCAAGGTAGGCAAAGCTACTAGTTTTGCTTTTCTGCACAGCAGATGCTGTAGGGTCATCATCAAGCTGTAGGTACAGCTGCTTTGGCTTTAGAAAAGTAATGGTATCCAAGTCAAGTCTGGTCTCTGTCTTTAGATAGGTGAACATGGTGACACATATTGACACCTTCTCATTCATGCTGACAAATGAATGTCTGGATGCATTGAAAGTATGCAGTGGTTCAGTGCTTTAAACATTGTATCCAGATACTGGCAAGTTTAACTAGGTGGTGAAAACAGACTTAAAACTGCTTTCAGTACTTGATGGTTTTTACAAGTTTTTTGTTATGCCATTCAGTTTGTGTAACATGCCTGCCACTTTTGTAAGGCTAATGGAGCTTACACTGAAGGGTCTCTAATGGGAAAGGTTCCTTATTTATGTCAGTGATGTTGTGTTATTTGACCACACGTTCAAATTTGCTGTTGAAAATCTGAGCTGGATGTTTCAGCAAACAAGGTGGGTGTGCTTGAAGGTGCAATAAGGGAAGTGCAAAAGTGTGCATACAGGTGGAGTTTCTAGGTCATATTTTTGGTACAGACAGTTTCTACTTATCCTGTGAAGATCAGAGTAATGTGATTCTGGCCTCAACTTGTAATCAAGAAAGATGTCTACAATTTCCTTTGTCTCTAGTTGTATTATTGCTGTTTTATGGCCAACTTTTCCAAGATTGCTACATCATTAATAGTTTTACTGAAGTGGATGCAAATTTTAGATGGACTGAGGAATATGACTTAGCATTTCAGTCACTAAAGCATGATTTAATTGAAACTACAGTGTTAGCATGTTCATAATGAGATGGTAAATTTCTGCTTAGTACTGATACCATTGATAGTGGAGTTGTGGTGGTATTATCATAATTGCAGGATGGAGTGGAACATCAGTTCAGGAACACCAACAGCTTCTGAGTGCAGATACTGTATGAAAAAAAAACATTTCCATCCACTGGTGATCTTCATGACACTACTGTTTGATAGTAATTCACTATTTGGGTAAACCATGCATTGCAGAAATGGCTCATGAACTTTACAACTCCAGATGGAATGATTACACATTGGATCACAACATTGCAAGAGTACATCTTTTTGTATTGCTTCATCCAGGTCTGCAACATTGCAACACCAGTGGATTGTCTCACCACACAATGATCCCTGTCCTTTTGTCGAAAATTCTGAATCCTGGACACATTGTGGGAGTTAAAGCCATTTCTGCTATAGTGATGTCAAATTGTGTGGTCAGAGATTTCACTAGTGATTGGGTATCATGCTCAAAGCTCAGAAGCTCCAGAAAGTGCAACTGAATTACCCAATCTAACTTTAGCACTTCTTGCTATGGATGAAGGTGAAGTGCACCTAATGTGTATTGAGGAATGTAGTGCAGGTGCATGTAACTTATGGCACTTGTACAAGTAGCTATATGTGTAGGAAGGTGTGCTGTACTATTGTTATCAACCACTGAGACATGGTTCTGAACCTGTGTTGCAGCTACTGGTTCCTAAAGCTCTTAAGCAAGAAATACATCAGACCTTGCACAATGCAAAGACTGAAAACAACTAAGGTGTTACAAATAACTGTGTTACTGTGTGACAGTAGTTTTATTGGTTACATTTTAATTAAGAAATTAGGCAGTAGTGTGAGCATAGTATTGTGGGTGTTGTCCAAAGAATTGATTGGTCTCATTTGCCCTGAATGTTACTGGTTTTCTTCCATTTTCATATTAACAATCAAAATCAAAGTTATTTTGATCTGTTTCATAATAAACTTTCTCAATACTTACGTTGTCAACATATCCTTTGTTGTATGACCTCAGGCTGAGATGCTGATTATTTTTCACTCATCAGTCATTTGAAATAATCTCCAGTTATTAATTTAAGAGTACTTTCCAACTTGTGGTTTCTGAAATGTTTATTAAATTATCATTTGAAATCATGTCTAGGTAAGTGCTGTTTAAAACAAACTATTTGGGATGTTTCTTCAGCTTGTTAACCTTTTCCTTGAACCTATTTTCTATCACTCCATAATAGGAAATGTTTCCTTAGTGTAAAATACCTTCCTGTGTTTTACATGCATAGTTGAAATAAAGGAATAAAAGCTTATTTAGAGTAAGTACATGCAGTATCAGCACTTTATATATTATAAGATTTAGTCTTAGTACTAATAATTAATTTTTTTATATGTTTTGTTTTTGGTGCAGTCCAAGATAAGTTGTAACTTAGATTTTTGTGGCATTTGATGGCAAGATTCATGTGGGTTTTGTTTGAAATTATGTGGATGACACGGGAGACTATTATAATTTACTGTATGTTCATTTAAGTTAATACTAAACACCATTTAAAATGTTACATTTGCAGGTGGTAGTTAATATTAAAACCTATATTTTCTTTTACAGTCAGTGTGGAGTCTCTGTTGAAATACTACGTAAAAGAGAATTGAAATGGTTAGAAATGTTTGAGAACTGGGAACGTTTCATGACTAAAAAGTACAAAAAGGTAGGCTCGTTGGTATTTTCTGTGAAATTGTAGATTCATGTATGTAACATGTCAGGAAAATACTTGTTTCACCCCAAAATAGTGTTAGGCTTTTACAAATATATGTTAATTTTTTTTTATTTATTTAATTTTTGATCTCATGCAATTTCTTAATATTTTGAACTTACAAAATGTGACAATTAGGTTTCCTATTAGATGATTTATTCTCTGTTTTTCGAGATTGAACTATGTATACCTATTTACAACAGACGTATGTCACAGGAGTACCACTAGAAATAATAATTAATTATAAGACTATGAGTTAAATACATACCTGTATATTCAGGGGCTATATAAGACTCTTCAGTTATGATACTGTTAATCCTCAGGTTCAACAATTTTGAAGCTAATTTAGTTATAATTACACTTAAAATACAAACATGAAATTAGCTTGAAACCTGCTTGTATGATGGATTTTTCTCACATCTATGTAATGGACTTTTCTCACAATTAGTTGGTTCATTTGAAGTTTTTTCAGTAATTTCTAGATAATGGTAATATTGTGGTATTCTCAGGTGAACTGATTTCCACTGAAGTATGAGATAGGCCTGCTTAATAACAGCAGAATCAAACAGGAAATTTATGGAGTAGCTGTATTTCTTTTTTTATTGTGCTATATATTATTTTTTTAATTTGAAGTTTTAAACTAAAGTTAAAGGATTTGTTCTTTGTGTTTTATTTGAAGCTGTGTTTGAAAACTTGACTGAGTTTTTTAAGCCTATGTGAGAAAAAGAGGAGACTGGACACATTTGATTGAAAAGTGAATAGTATCTTTATTCATAAACAAAAGCAAAAAACCAGTGTGCATACTTCTGTAGACAATTGCTTACCCAATTGCTTCTATCAAATTAGGGTATAACTTCTCTTAGGATTACCTTCTGTAGAACTATACTCAAGCAGAAACTTGGTAGAACTGAGAAAGAATAAGTGCACACTTTCACATAATGCTACAATCGTGTATAAGAATGTGTTCCTGCTGTGATGTGTTGCTTTTCAGAGATGAATAAACTGTTTACATGGTAAAAGCCAGGAAAAACAAAAAAATTAAAATAACCTATACACCTGGAAAAAAGTTAAGCACCCCCGTGTTTTTTTCAAGCGATTCAGATTCGACG